GTAAACATTTCCATGGTGATAATAAAATTAATAGCTATTTTTAAATATTCTATTGTTTATATTAAATACACATCTCGACGGGACATAGACGTCGTTGATCTAAATTCTTCGAAGTAGAGGTCGCTGCACAACAAACAGACCATCTGTTGATATTTGAACGTAACTAAAATTACAACTACAGACTAATAATAACCGATACTACGATACTTAAAACTGAGAAAATGTTGCAACATAATATCTTGGGATACAAAGTTCTCGATGTGCGTGGCACGTCGTTCCAGCGCAAGAGGTTAATTGAAGCACGTATGTACGTACGTGCGAGCTTCTCGACAGAAAGCTATCTCTTCCCTGCTCCCTTCTCGAGGTTCTCGGCAATCGGAAGTTCACTTTGCAAGCAACACGTCCGTGCTTGTTTCCTTCGAGTCGCAGGGAAGACTGCAAAGACGCAAACGGCAGTGGGAGGGGGAGGAGGTCTTCGCCAAATGCCCGACGTATCGATCGATTCCCCTCGAAAGCGAAGCTGGCGCAGTTTTCAGGTTTCACTTGGCGAACGAGCGTCCGCGAACGTATCGCAAATATGTACAACGGTCGATCACTGGAGAGAGGAATAAAAGTGAGGGAGGAGCCGATTTCAGATTGCTTTGCAATAAACACGGAAAAAGTATTCGATTGGAAATGACGGCGAGGCTCTTTTATTCCGGTCGCGTTTCAACAGCGACGTTTCCAATCTCTCCTTCGCATTCAAGTTTAACGTTTTTATCGAGAAAATGCCTGGGCTGCCAGATTTGTTTTCCAATATATCGGCTCGCAGTCTTCCCGCTCGCTGTCCATCCGGCAGGTAACAATAACGTGAATGCCGAACGGACGACGTTCTCTTCCGTCGAGGCGAGCGAGATTCTCAGGCTAGAAAATTCGTTTGTACTTGTACTTGAAGCGAGAAGAAGGCAAGAGATTGTGAAATAAAGCACGTGCATGCACGTACGTGGCCTATCTTTGTAATCAATTTCTGTCGCTGTTAGTCCTTGCAAGTCTAATCAAAAAAGATGATGAAAGGAGGCAAATCTGGAGGTCGTTTGTACTAGAAAATCAGAACTTCGAGAGAAATATTTTTATTTAGACGCACTGCGAAGGAAGTTGTTTTCTTCAAGACACGTAAATCACGCATAACAGTGAAACTTTCTAAAGTACGAAGCTTTTATCGAAAAAATCGGAGACCATAACTATTATAATCAGAATGAAAAAAAAAAAGATAGGATAACGATTTTTTTTTTTTTGGTTAAAACTGTCAAAATTTTCATTTAGAAATAACGACTGTGAAATTTTAGGAAACGTTGTTTCGTTGCTGATAATCATTATCGAGAGAAATTTATTTAGATTACTTCTAATCGTGCTCTCTCTCAGTTGCTGATAATAATTATCGACGAGGGAAATTTATCTCGGTGTTCGTTTTATTCATTAATTTCCACGAGATTTACATCAGGAAGTAACTGTACAGTTTTAAAATGTTTCAATCATTCTGCGATCTGTTTCGGTTGAACGTAGAGCAATACTTTACACTTTATGCTAGTATGAACGAGCAAAGTGAAGTTTTCCTCATTGATAATTATTATAAGTAATTGAAATAAATTTCTCTCGTTGATAACTATTAAACAGAATTACTCTCATAAATAATGGTTATCAAAAACGAAAACAACTTTCGATCACTTAATAATTGTTATTTGTAGCAGTTTAATATTTTAATCACGTAAATAATAGACAGATTTCAGTTACTGATTTCTTTTCATAAAAATTTTTGTGATAACTGTTATTTTTGGTTCTTGAAAGAAATTAGGTGCAAATAATAAAAAAAAAATTTATAGTAAAATAAAGAAAGTTTATAACTCGATCATTTCGATTGCTCTGCTAGTTCACGTTGGAGAATGATCAATTACTTTGTAATCATTCCTGTAATCAATTACTAAATAGTAGTCGTGATCATTAATCAATTAATCATTGTCAAAATAAATCAATAAATTTGATTGATTTTTGTAATATTTAATCGGTAATTTTTAAAATATTATTAAAAGATTGATTTATATTTTATTATTGTAATTGTAATTTATATTCGATATAACTAAATGTTGTTATTAAACCGTTTCTAGTTTGAGTAGTCACACTAGTAGACCAAGAATAGAGAAAATATTTACGCATATTTTTTTTTGCTGGGTAATAGTATTGTTTTGAATTTAGAGTAATTCATTAAAGTTTACAATGCTCAAATGTATTTTTGATATAAGAATCATATGGAGTGCGTATCATGATGAAGAATCTCAAAATTTTAATCATTGAGTTATCAAGATCATTCAAGTTATTTTTCAAGATCATTTTTATCAAATCGTGCCAATGAAGATTGGTCCATTTAATTTAATTTATTTTTAATTTTAATGCTGTATAATGATACAATTTTCTACATTTTTATACGATTTCTTTTAATTTTTTCATTTTGTTCACTTTTGTTCTTTGAACTTTCTTCTACTTGCCACTATGCGATCATTTAAAAATGATAATTGAGAGAAATAATGTTTAACGAATGAAGAATTTGCAGTGGAACATCAAACACTATTTTATTAGTTTTTTATTTTACTTGGAAGTATCCTTTC